TAAATAGATAAATAGAGTTTGAGCACTTCCCCCGCCGCTAGGACAAACAATGTTGGGTGATACTTCAAGTATTCCTTGATCCTTTTAAGCACATGGTCACATTCCTCATCCCAATCTCCCTTTGTCGCCCCTTTAAGCAGGGCAAAAAATGGCTTGCACCTATCCGAAGACTTAGAAATGAATCGGTTGAGAGCTGCTAGCATCCCAGTTAGTTTCTAGATGTCTTTGGTGGTCCTCTGCGTTTGGATGTTTTGTACGTCTTGAATCTGCTCGGGATTGACTTTGATGCCCCTGTGGATGACCAAGTACCCCAGGAATTTAATCGAGCTTACCCCAAATGCACACCTAGNAATGAATCGGTTGAGAGCTGCTAGCATCCCAGTTAGTTTCTAGATGTCTTTGGTGGTCCTCTGCGTTTGGATGTTTTGTACGTCTTGAATCTGCTCGGGATTGACTTTGATGCCCCTGTGGATGACCAAGTACCCTAGGAATTTATGCATTAAGTTTTAGACCGTAGCTTCGGAGTATAGTAAACGTAGTCCTGAGGTCCCAAAGGTGATCAACGATCTCCTTACTTTTAACCAGCATATCTTCAATATACACCTCCATGGTCACGTTGAGTTGCAGTTTGAACATCTTGTTCATCAGGCGTTGATAAGTTACCCTGGCGTTTTTCAACCCAAACGACATCACCATGTAATGATAGATCCCTCGGGGCGTAATGAACGCTGTTTTCTCTTGATCGGATTCATGTAGAGGGATTTGGTGGTAACCTACCCGAGCATCCATGAAGGTGATACGTTTATGGCCTACGGGTACGTCCACCAGCTGATCAACCTTGGGTAGTGGATACTCATCCTTGGGGCAAGCCTTATTCAAGTCCGCGAAATCTATGCAACTCGCCATTTTCCCTCCTTTTTCTTGGCACACACCGTGTTGGATAACCACTGGGGGAACTGTACTTCTTTGATAGAGCCTGCCCCCAACAACCTATCCACCCTTTTATCTACGGCCTTCACATGATGAGGTGTTGTTCTTCGTGCCTTTTGCCTTACGGGCTTGAAAGATGAGTCAACATGGAGCTGGTGGGTCATCACCTCGGGACTTATCCCCATCATCTTGGCTGTCGTCCACCCAAAGACGTCGACGTTTTGGCATAGGAAGAAAGTCATGTTAGACTTCTAGTGACGCCCCTATCAAAAATGTCTCTCCTCATCATCGGGGTTTNCTTGAAAGATGAGTCAACATGGAGCTGGTGGGTCATCACCTCGGGACTTATCCCCATCATCTTGGCTCTCGTCCACCCAAAGACGTCGACGTTTTGGCATAGGAAGAAAGTCATGTTAGACTTCTAGTGACGCCCCTATCAAAAAATGTCTCTCCTCATCATCGGGGTTTAGAAAAACTTTGACCAAGACTTCAGTGGAACGGTTGACAGGTTCCGTAATGGGTTCATCTACCCCAGGTCGATTGAACTGTGATTGCTAATTGGCCACTACTACTTCGGGATCACATTCCTCAACTCAGCTACAAACCCCAGTCTTTACCGCAGCGTAGAAGTAATTTTTTGACGATGCCTGATCACCACGGATCTCCATAATACCCCTCGGAGTGGGAAACTTTATCTTTTAATGATAGGACGAGTGGACCGCCTTCATCGCATGCAACCACATCCTGCCCATAATGACATTGTACGACGAGTCGAAATCTGTTACTATGAATTCAATTGGGACAACAACGATCCTATCTTGAACTGCAAGAATGATTTTCCTAAGGAGGAGGGGCGCTGGAATTGTAAAAACCTATGAGTGGGGTCCTTATAGGTTTCAGGTCTTTCTGCGTGAACCCCATCTTGCGAAAGAGGTTGTCATACATCACCTCGAATGAGCTACCCGAGTCTACCAAAATCCTCTTGACATCATACTTACCAACCCGCAGGGTGATCATTAGTGCGTCTTTATGGGGGAACACCAACCGAGCTAGGTCAGCATCGAAAAAGTGAATGACCTCGGCATCGTGCCGAGGCTTCTTGGACGACTACCCCTCACACCTGTTTTCCTCCACCCTTATGGCTTGTGAGACCCTCTGTAGTTCGTCTTGGAAGAAGTTATATGTGGGTCTCTCGAGGGTGCAGACGTGTATGACGTCAATCACAGACGCTACCACTTGAGGCGAGTTAGCCTTTTCTTCGGCTAATCTCCCATGGGGCCACTTATCAATAAATTCCCCAAGATGACCTTCTCTGACCAACTGTTCGAGGAAGGACTTGTATACCCTATAGTCTTCGGTCAAGTGCCCCACATCATTATGATAAAAACAGCAGGACGTTGAGTCCCTCATTGATGAGTCCTCTTACATCCTTGGGGGCCATTTGAAGTAGGGTCTATCCTTTATTTTATGTAGCATCTTATAAATGGGCTTCTTGAAGACTGTATTGACCCCTTGAAAAGACAACCAACTCGGAGGCAGGATGGGTGCACCTCTCCTTGCAGGCTGCTCTTTTTCCCTCCTCCTCGGCACTGGGGCCCTACTCTCGGGCACGATGGATTCTGTTTCCACCCTAGCGTATTTTTTTATCCAAGCCATCAGATCCTTTATGCCTCCTAGGGATTTCTTAGTGAGAGATCTGTAGAGGTCGGTGTCTCGGGACAATCCCCGCCGAAATGATTCTGCGGTCATCACCTCCAAGCACGACTCGACTTCGTTCACCTCCTCCCAGTACCAGATTTCGTACTGTTGGAGAGACTCTCCACCACTCCTTTTGAGCGTCAGTAATGCACCGATGTCTTTCAGACTTTTATTATTGGTGGCAAATCGAGACACGAAGAGCTCGACAAGTTGCCTCAAGGACCTGATGCTCTTAGTGGGCAGGTTCGCGTACCATTTCATGGCAGTGTCTCCCAAGCTTGTGGAAAAGACTTTGCATAGTACCTTGTGATCGGTGTCGTACATGGACATCAACTTCTTGTACTATTGTAGGTGACTCTTAGGGTCTGTCCTCCAATCGTAGAACTTTTTTGGCATTTCTGTATCCCGGATTACCCACACAAACGGGGAACTGATTTGCTCGTCTTCGTCTACCTCGGGTTCGGGTCTCCGGCGCCTGTCATCAAAGCGCGCTCGTAGGTCCATTCAGGGTTTTCCTTTTCCCGGCCTCCTTACTGTGGACTCTGCTTGGGACTCGGTTGCACTGGCATCTCTTGGTATCCCACGACAGAGATTCCACCGGGACAGGCCCGCCTTGTGGTGATCCTACTCTGATCCGTCCTCGGGAGAGGGTCTTCCCTAGGTTTGTGGGTTACGCCTCTCAGCTGCGTGCCCGCGCATACTTCCTTCGGGGGCCTTTTACCTTACATCCCTGGAGTCACCTCAACTGAGACTCTGGTCCCCTCGTTCACCGCTCCACCAACTAGCATTCCTGGACCTCTCAAAACCATCGAGTCGTCGTCGCACCTTAGTGTTATCCTTCTCAAGTTGCTTGATGCGCTTTCCCATCTGCTTTTCTACCAACTCGATGATATCGTGAGCCAAAAGGCCTTGCCCCCTAAGGCCCTGGTCCGCGGGGAATGTTTGTTGCGAGGCACGCCCGCCTCTATCCGACTAGTCCAAGAGGCCTAATTTTGTGACCACTAGGAGTCGGGTAGCTCCGCATTTCTTACGCGTATACTCCCTCACCCCTCACCTTGGGATCGTGTGTTCACCATGATGCAACTGCTACGGGGAAAAGTTTGTGTCTGTTCCCTTAGATGACGCCAGATTGCACGGGAGAATTCTTGCAATAGTTTGAGATAGTAGTTGCCTGTATGATGAACCTGAAATAACCACAGGGTTAAGAAAAGGGCCGGGTGAACACCCGACTTATCATCTCCNATTCTTGCAATAGTTTGAGATAGTAGTTGCCTGTATGATGAACCTGAAATAACCACAAGGTTAAGAAAAGGGGCCGGGTGAACACCCGACTTATCCCCTCTGAAGCTTAAGTCAGTATAAGGTTGGAGGCTTAAGCATAGTGTATTCTCTATCTCAGTTTCGTTTTCCATACATTTGTTCATTTTTCTGAGAAATATTTATACCTGGATTAGTAATGAGTGCAAAGGCCTCAAGTCCATCTGAACATTAAATGCCTGACACTCTTACCCACATGTAATGAGTATTCTCCACCCATATCTTCACATATTTAATGCTAGGATGATGGAACAAGTGTTTGGGAAAAAGCCAAGCACTTATGGCTATCCTCGGGCACTCAAGTCTCTTTGATCGGTGCTTGACACTTGTTACTAAGCGTTCAATGCTCGGGGAACAGTACCTCGAGTTACACCGAGGGGGTATACTCGGCATAATAGCCATTAATGCCTAGCTATTATGACTGCAGGCATAGGTNCACATGTAATGAGTATTCTCCACCCATATCTTCACATATTTAATGCTAGGATGATGGGACAAGTGTTCGGGAAAAAGCCAAGCACTTATGGCTATCCTCGGGCACTCAAGTCTCTTTGATCGGTGCTTGACACTTGCTACTAAGCGTTCAATGCTCGTTGAACAGTACCTCGAGTTACACCGAGGGGGTATACTCGGCATAATAGCCATTAATGCCTAGCCATTATGATTGCAGGCATAGGCTTTGAGGATGCAGGGACTTATTAATGGTCTTGTCTCCATCACTCACATCACCATAAATGAGTGATCAAATCGTATTAAATGCGGGTGTTAGCTTGTGTATTCGGCTCCTCCGAGCCATTCTTCCTCGACTCTACTCTTCGGCGTCTCTTGAGATCCTTAACGGCTACATTCTTACACGTGTTGATCTGGGGCTGCTGAGCCGCAAAAAGTCTCGTTAGAAGGTATGTTGTAGTCCCTATTTGTATGGTTGTTTTGATGATTTTGGCCTTGAAATGATGGGTTTAGAGGCAAATTTAAGCTTCATTGCTTGAAGGGAATAGTGGGTGTTTATTTGGGATATTTTTCAAAGAGTTTTGGGATCTGATATTGTGTGGCAGTCAAAGCTACGGCACCAGATAAAGCGCCAGCTAGTAGTGGGTCGAGCATCAAACAGATTCTTGATATCCAAGGAGCCAAGCAAGAGACTGTGAATCTCTAAATTCTGGTTCTTTTTCGAATTTGTTATCAATTAAGATAGGTTTTTAATCACCATTGTTGAAATTGATGCTTAATCTGTTTATATGGTATACACACAAATATTATTTCAGTGGAGATCAAACGAGTAAAGGGGAAAAAACCAGTGTTTGGGCTGAACTCATGTTAGCCTCAAGTAGTGTTAATGCTATTTCACGTGGAATAAGAACTGTGAGCTCAAGAAAACGTGGTCGATAGTTGGTGGGATTTTTGTTTTCAATATTGTGGAGTCGAGTTAAATTATTTTATAAATCTACAGTATGGCTGAAATAGATGTTGTCATTCACTGGAAAGAATGAGAAAATTTACTCTTTCGTTCAATTCTTAGATGGCCAGAGTAAATGGTCCAACCTTCTGTTTGTCTCATGCAGGATAAGTGGAAAATCCGTGTTCAGCTTACAAAACCTGTTACTCGGCCTCCGCTGGTTTGGGGAATCGTCTGTGGAGCTGCTGCTTCGGGTATTGCAAACTTGGAAATTAGAAGCTTCTTGTGGCATGACGAGTAATTTCTGGTTGTTAGATTTGTCTAGTTATAGAAATTGGCCCTATAGAGATCCAACTAGTAGTTCCAATGTAGGATGCTAGATTTACCTACGTCAGCATTTATTTGCAGCTGGTTAGGAGTAAAAATATATACACAAGAATTAGGTTGATTATTGGAATATATGATAATGTGGGACCACGTCTGCAACTCTTGTCATATGGTGTGTAATCATGGTTTTAGTATGGTGCTCGTCAATGAACTTATCTTTTAATGCTTAAGTGATGGCATTCCTCGTAGTTTTGCTCAAGGAAACCTATTAAGTTTGCAGCACATGTTTGTGTGTTAGTTAGGCCCTTGTGACCAGATAATCCTCCCCCTGCAGGAAATTTCCATTGGAACTTGGAGGATGTTGCCAAATCAATTGTTTGCATGATAATGTCTGGGCTGTGCCTAACTGGCTATACGCAGGTACATCTGTTGAATGCAGGAATGGTATTTCTTCCTCTTTACTACTTCATCGTATTTTTTTCTGCTTGAATGATTGCTTCAAACTAAAGTACGTAGAATTTGTGTGATTTCAACCCTTTATACATTGAATGATTGGTATGATAGAGAGATTGACGATCTCAATGAACCTTACCGTCCAATTCCTTCAGGGGCTATATCTGAGAATGAGGTAAGTGATGTAATTGGGTGGTAGAATATGTACATATGATCACAAAATTTCTTTGATTCCGGTTGATTTTACTTTTTTGGAATTATTTTTCTCTCAGGTTATCAACCAAATCTGGTTGTTGCTTTTAGGAGGCCTTGGGCTGGCTGGTTTCTTAGACGTGTGGGTATTATCTCTAAATGATTCTCCCTTCTCTCTTTTACAAATTATGTGGGAATGCCATTTCCTAAATACTTGTCCTTTACAGGCAGGACATAATATTCCTGTAATATTTTACCTTGCTCTAGGAGGATCCCTGCTGTCCTACATCTACTCAGCTCCTCCTCTAAAGGTAATTTTCCTTTTCTCCTTATATTTTTAAAAAAAATCTGATTTCTTTAATCTCGATCAAACCAATTTACTTCAATCCTCAACTCAGTAAAACTTGGTACAGACTATTTGAGGTTGGCTACTTGAATCTTGATTTGCAATTCTACTCTATTAACTATTAAGGACCATAGGTTGTGTTTGCACAATTCCTAACTACCATCCTTCAAATATTGCAGCTCAAGCAGAATGGATGGATTGGGAATTTTGCTCTAGGAGCTAGCTACATCAGTTTGCCATGGTGAGACATTTTCTGTCTTACTACCTTGGCTAAGTTGATGTCATAGATTGGAAAAAAACAGGAAAAGTAAAACGAAATGCTTTTAAATGACCGTCTTTCTAAGCATTTTTGAGCAATGTCTTTTCTTTTTCCTCTATATTCTCAACAACCAGAGCAAGGTATTTTTTTCTATTTTTTTCAATTGTCCAAATTATGACTATCCTTGCAAAGTTTTTGCCAAGCCATTCAAGATTCAGTTTAAATTTGATGGTTATTGATGATGCACAAAACTGTTTTCGTACAAGATCAACAGTCAAGTATGTGTAATGGTACAATTAATGAGTGATAAACAAACAATCAATGGCAATTAAGAGTAAAACAGTAAATAATAGATCAACACAGAGATTTATAGTGGTTCGGTCCGGGTGACCTACTCCACTCTCGGGAACGGCAACGGTGGCCTGGTGTTCTTTATTGATGAATTATGGTCTCCGGAGAGTTACAGTGCTTTTGAGAGAGAGAAAGAGAGAGATCAATGAGTGTAGGGGGTGCGTAGAGGTTTCAGAAGTGTGCCTTCAATGTTGAGAGGACTTACATTATATAGTCAGGATAAGGCGGTGACATGGGTGAGTGGACTTCTACCAGTTTGGTAAGTATAGTTATGGTAGGAGTTCTCTGCGCTTATCCCAATGTTTACTCCCTCATGCTCCTATTCTTTCAGAGGAGGACTCTCAGCTGGATTGGACTTGATCCTCGTCTTGATCCTGGACATGTCTTGAGTTGGTGTGACTTGGACTTGGATTAGAGCTCTAAGGTGAAAAGGAGCAAAGAGGGAGGCGCCCAAGGGCTGCCAAGTCTCTTGGGCATTGGCCTTGGGGCGTTGGGTGTTGACCTCTTGATGTCTTCCTTTCCAATGGGTCGATCCAATTTTGATTTGGACTTTCCTTCGAGCTTTATCAGATTGTTTTCATTGGGTCTAACCCAGTCATATTCGTGCTCGTCATTTGCCCCCCATGCTCCAAGCCTCAGACTCTTGGTGAGAGGAAAGGGTTGTGGGCATGTGCTATACCTTCTTCCAGGGTAACAAGTTCATGGGAACTAAGAGTTCAAACAGCTACGGAAGAGAGGAGCGAGGAGGAGTCCACGCCCTTGATATCATAGGAGACTCCCATGGAGGTGCTTTGGGCGACACCCATGTGGTCGAGGTGGACGCCCAAGGCGATGAGACAGGCGCCCATGGTGAGAGGTAGGTGCCCAAGGTGAGAGGTAGGCACCCATGGGCGAGGAGGACTGCTGGAGCATTGAAAATTTGACAAAATTTTGAACGCCTATAACTTTGCGCACAGAAGTCCGTTTGAGGCGAAATTTTTTTTGAATTCGAGTATTTTTTCGAGATCTTCAACATACAAGGCAGTTTGGTCAGCTAATTTTCCCAAAAAACGCTTCTATCTCTCAGAATTTGAGTTTTTAGCACAACTCAACGAAACTGATCGATTTTTTTTTATTTTCTTTCTTCTTTCTTTCTTAGTCTACTGGTTGCCGACCTTCTCCCCTTTTTTTTTTTTCTTTTTTTTTCCCTTGTCTTGGCTGCTGCTGGGCACCGCCCCTCCCTTTCTCTTTTTTTTTTTTTTTGGTGGATCCTTGATGCAAAGTGAGGAGGGATTTTGGCGAGGAGTCCATGGGTGTGGGCGACGCCCTGTCATGTGCTGGTAATTTGGGTCTTACACTAGGCGTTCGTGAAGGTGAGATGGGAGACTGGGCGAGATGGGAGGACCCATCCCCATGGGCGAGGCCAGCGCCTTGTTGGGCGGCGCCTTATTTGCTATGGACCCCAGTATGGCATCAAATGTAGGGGGAGACTTGGTGGGTGACGCCAACTTGATAGGCGAGGCAGAAGCATTGCAGACAACTTTGGACGCCTCTTCTAGGCGAGAGGGAGAGTTGGACGGTGCCAGGAGAAGGCTGGTAGGGTGCTTTGGGCTCTGCCAGGAGGCTGGGCAGGTGCCTTGGGTGTTGCTAGGAGGCCTTGGGCACTGCTGTGTTTGTGTTTGGGCAACACCTTGAGCCTTACTGTGGGGGACGCCTCTCTGGTGCTTGGTCACTAACTAGCATTGTCCCAGATTTTAGGAACTCTTGATGGAGCGATGATGGAGGTGGAGGTTCTTTGTGCTGTCTTCTCCTCCTCCCAAGAGGGTGATATTTGATCCCTCTAGTGCTTCTCGGTCAAGGTCTGATTGCCAGGTTGCTTCCCGGGAGATGGGTCCCGGTGGTGCCCCCACTATTTTCCAAACTAGGACTTTTGTGCTAGCCTTTGTACTGCTATAGGTGTTGGGACTTCTGTGCGGTCTTCTATGGGGACTGTAGCTCTACATAACTGTCCTGCTTTGACCTGACTTTGGTCAACGAGAGGCTTTGGACCTCTAGGATATCAGAGAGGCAGGCACAAGAGCTGCTGAAGAGCAAGTAGGGCTCGAGTGACAAGCACTAAAGGATGCCACGGAGCATTAGGGCTCCGTCGGCAGGCACGAGAGGATGCTGCGGAGCAAGTAGGGTTCAGGTGGCAGGCACGAGAGGATGCCACGGAGCAATAGAGCTCAAGCGGGAGGTACGAGAGGATGTCACGGAGCAAGTAGAGCTCGGGTGATAGGCACGAGAGGATGTCGCGGAGCAGTAGGGCTCGAGCGGCAGACACGAGAGGATGCCGCAGAACAGTAGGGCTTGGGTGACAGGCACGAGAGGATGTTGTAGAGCAAGTAGCGCTTGGGCGACAGACATGAGAGAATGTCGCGGAGCAGTAGGGCTCGGGCGACAAGCACGAGAGGATGCCGCGGAGCAGTTGGGGTTGGCTCATGAATGAGGCGCTAAGCTGGTGATTGAGGCTGCTCGGGAGCAGAGGTAGAACTACGTATTGCTCAGAAGAAGGCTGTTGTGACAGAGACTCATTCCATTGAGATGAAGATGAGGAGGGCTCTCTCATTCCATTGAGATGGAGATGGAGATGAAGAGGGCTCTGAGGAACTGGGCGCTTGAGACTCATTCCACTGAGATGGAGATGAGGAGAGTGTTGAGGAGCTGGGCGCCTGGTGCCTAGTGTTGGGTACCTGAAGCTGGGCACCTAGTGAGAGAGGGCGAGACCCATTATATAGGCCGCCTGGTGAGAAGGGGGAGACCCATCGTCTAGGCGACATCGAAGGAAGCGCTAAGGTGGAGAGGGCGAGACCCCTCGTTTGGATGCCTTTTGACTTTTTGTCTACCTTGTTGTTGATAGGTCGTAGGTTGCTTGAGATGAAAGCAAGACAATTATGAAAACATTAATCTTGCAAAATTTTATTTCATAAAATAATGAATAACAAAATAAATCAACTGAAATTGTAAAAGATAAATAAAATCTTCAGGCGTGTCCCATCGGTGGGCCGATGTTTCCTTGGCGGAGTTGTAGCCCTCAAGAGATTGTTTGAATTTCTTCGAGTGGTTACTAGCGTTCTCTGTCATCCTGGTCCTAACTAGGTGGTAGAACTTGTCCTTTGCCAGCAACGTATTGCCTCAACTGACCACGCTGTATGAGCTCCTCTATCTGTCTCTTGAGCTCATAACAGTCATCTGTGTCATGACCATGGTCGTGGTGGAAGCGACAATACCTGCTGTGATTTCTACGATTTGGGGCGGACTTCATTTTTCCAGGCCAAAGGAGCGTGGGGTTATCATGTATCTGAAATAGGATGTGCTCCACCGAGGCGTTGAGTGGCGTGAAAGGTTGTCGGTCTCTTAGGGGGTACGGACCGAGACGGTCCTTGACAGAAACTCTTTCGATTCTCTTTCTTTTGTTCTCTGTCTCCCACTTGTCTTTGCGGGTGTCTTTCCTTTTCTCCCTTCCTTGGGAGGACTCACCTCGACAGGCCTTGGTGACGTCCTTAGCATTCATGTACTTTTATGCCCTTGACAATAGCTCGGGCATGCTGGAGGGCGGCTTCTTGAGGACAGAGAACATGAAACTGGAGGTGCGGAGGCCAGTGATAGGGCAGAAAGAGATACCTTATCATCTGGCTTCTCAATCTGGAGAGCCTCCTCATTGAAATGGGTAAGGTAATTTTTGAGGCTTTCATCCCGGTCCTGCTTGATAGTGATCAGATGGGTTACCGACTTCTGATGTCGGCATCCCCCAATGAAGTGGGAGATGAAGGACCTACTGAGCTCAGGTAGTCCACAGTCTTTGGCGCCTGTGCCCTGATGGCGTTGAGGGCATCACTGAGTTGATTTTGCACATCTTTGATCTTCTTATCCCATTGGTTAGGGACATCTTCGATCGGGTGATGGTATTGGCTCTCGTGGTCTCCGTATTGACTTTCTCCTTCATCCTCCTGTGCAGGCACGTGCGAAAGGGGAACATGTGTGCTCCCTGCGCGTTGAGGAGGGATCGCTTGATGAGGGCTCCTTGGCGTGGTCTTGGAATCTTCTAGCGAGGGACCTGGCGCCCAGAAGAGATAGGTAGCGGCTCCTCTCCTGTTGGAAGGAGTGGAACTCTTCCTGCGGGGTGATGGGTGACGCCCCATTGGTTGAGCATTAACTGGATCATCTGCTAGCTTTGTTTTACCAGCAGTTGCATAGTCTGTAGAAGCTGTTGCTGTTGTCCAACGGTTGGAGTCACCGTGGCAGAGGGTTCTAAAGGCGCGAGAGGAGGTGGAGCCTCCTCTCGGTGCGTAGGGTTGTTGTCTCCCAGTTGATGNTCTAGGAGGATCCCTGCTGTCCTACATCTACTCAGCTCCTCCTCTAAAGGTAATTTTCCTTTTCTCCTTATATTTTTAAAAAAAATCTGATTTCTTTAATCTCGATCAAACCAATTTACTTCAATCCTCAACTCAGTAAAACTTGGTACAGACTATTTGAGGTTGGCTACTTGAATCTTGATTTGCAATTCTACTCTATTAACTATTAAGGACCATAGGTTGTGTTTGCACAATTCCTAACTACCATCCTTCAAATATTGCAGCTCAAGCAGAATGGATGGATTGGGAATTTTGCTCTAGG